ATACTGGTCTGTAAACTTTCACTCTGAGATCTCTTTTCCTTATATTTGGTAATGCATGTTGTTTTTACTTCAGATTCTGTAATTTCGTTTCTTGTTAATATGGAATTCTAAGTTCTTTTTCTGGGATTCAAGATGATTGGGTGATTCCCTTATTTTTATGAACATTGTAATGCTTTCTTTACTCTCATTTGATTAGCAATTCTTCAATTTTAAGTCCATGAGAACTATGGGAATGGATCTTGGAATATTTTTTGCATAATTGTGATTGGAAAATCAGGTTATGTTCTTTTGCTAATTAAACTCTTGAGGTTAGGGATAACCCAAGTAGGTATTTGATATAATTTTTAAGGATTCAGAAGACCTTAGGAAAGGAACCTTTTGAGGAACAGATCTGGAATTGGGAAATTCCAGAGAACTAGCAATAGTGAGTCAAATTATGAGATTAAAGTGCCATAGTCCTGCAAAAATGCAGGAATGCATAGTTTATGGAACATCCATGATTCAAGAATCCTAGATACTCCACATTTGTGTTCATCCTTTTATCACTGTTGTTAATCTGTTCTGAATATTAACCAAGTTTATATTTTTTTAGTTAAGTTTAGTGGTATGAAAGTTCAAGAAATAAGAATAGAAAATAAAAAGTAACTAGCTCAACCGTTCCTAGGGAACGATTCTAATCTTTGGATAAATACTACCCAACAACATGTTATCAAATTCTCAATTAGGTAAGAAAATGTTAAGACATAAAACCAAGGAAGTGTTGTCAAAATTATGTATACTTGTGAGTAAAGATTTTGAAAGGGCATATCTCACTCAATTCTTAACCAAATTAAGGGTGTGAGGTATCAAATTAAAGTTTAGGATGTCTAGTTTCTTGTCCTAAAAGATGAGATTTTTATGAGCGGCAGAATGCGCCCAGTTTTGGAAGAGTGAACACTGCTCAAATATGCCTTACGTTGACAACATTTTGGTTGGATTTTGTAAAATTCATATCTTTTTTGTTTCTCAACAAAACGAGGCACATGATATGTCAAATCAAAGTCCCAAGATGTCTAATTTCAAAATAATGAGTTGAGAGAATTCTAGGCATGGGAATATGCCTCTTTTTTTAGATTTACATACTGCCCTGTATTCACTGACGGTAGTTTTAGATAATTAACTTACGACGGACTTATCTGAAATTCTGCAGCTTCTATGGAGGCGTGTAATATGTCATTGTAAAGCTTGAGAAGTCTAGGATAACATATTAAAAAATGTGAATTTATGGTCAAGTGGATCAGTTCCAATTTAGGAAAAATCAAGAATGGTTCAGTGTTCATAATTGTAAAAGTGTGAAATTGGCTTTGTTGGTTTATGGAAACCACTTAGCATCAATAAATAAGTGTAGTATGATATAAAAACATTCGGATTTAATTATTCCGCAAATGTGTATAAGTTATAATTACATTTTTTGGTTATTTCAAATACGGTAATGATTTTAATTGGAAACGTCCAATGTTGAAAAAGAAAAAGTTTAAACTATTGTGATTTTAACTGCGCTTAATATCATATGCAATGATGATAACATACTGACAACTGATGAAGTGTTACAGTGTGCTCATCTTCTTGGACTAAAATAAAATTGTAGAAAGTTTGAAGTTCAAATTTCGGCATCACATTTAATCTTTGAAGATGATCAAAGATTTGAAAAGATTTTGGCTCCATGGATTCTGGTCCACACACAATTAATTGTTATCTTGATATAAACTTGGCGTGGTTTGGACCAAACATTAGAGCCTCAATTTAGGAAAGCAGATAGATCAACTGACTTGTCTTGATTTATGATCGGTCCAATAATGTATCTAACCACATATGGTTGAGTTTAGTCCAAGTTAATGGCTTGAGGAATGTAATGATATGAGAAAATTAAGATAAGAGAAAATTATGCCTTTCGGTCTATCCATGGGCAAGAACTTGTAAGAGAAATAAATGAATTCAATAACAACTATTACAAGATATACAAGGATCCAAGAAAATCACTCTCCGTTAAATTCAACTTGCGAGTGTGGGGTGGAGGTAATATTTGTACACGACATTATCCTTGCATAATTGCAAATAAACTGTTTCATGGAAGATATACAAGGATCAAAGAGTTTAATTTAGTGTTGGCTAAAAATGTGGAACTATTTGACAATGTAGAAATCAAATGCACTTTCAAACCACCTATCACTGTTTGAATGTACGTGTTCTTAATTAATTGCCTTTTCCTTTAATTGAAGAATTTTCAACCACAGGGCATAGTCGCTCAAATGCAGAATTAGTTTCATCCTAACTTCATATTAATTCAATATTGGGTTCTCATATCAGCATCATCATTCTAAAATCTCGATTAGTAAAGCATATACACTCTTGCTTTCTCTTATTCAAAGAAAATGAAACATTTAGCTGCCGTGTATGAAATTCTCTGTCTACGTGCTTGTTTGGCATTGGAACAGAGCTACCTCCGCATTAGGAAATTACGAAATTGATTGTTTGGCATTGCTCAAGTCAAGTATAAGTAGATAATCAATAGCCAACGAACCTCACGAAATATTGACACGTTCGGCATATTCTAGCTGCTTTCCCAATAAGTTGTTTAATATTGGACTTGTTTGTTCAATCGAATAGTTCATAGAAAGAATGAATATGGTTTTATGTTACCAAAGAACGGCACCTAGTGAGAAAGGGACATCTTTTTCTACCAAATTGCACCAAAATTTTCACACCTTTTTTACACCAATGGCCACATAATATAAGCTGATCAATATTGCTCGATAATCATTATTCACTAATGTAGAAATGGTGACACAAATGACTCTTCTCTATAGCAACATCAGCTAGGCCACATAGCAGTATGAGAAAACCTCATCTTCCAATTTTCCACAACCCCAAAAAGCAGTCAAGCATAGACTTTTATCAAAAGCAATAAATTCAAGTTTATCAAGAATTGGTAGGGAACGTATAAACCGGGGCATGACTCCTGACTAATATGCAAAACTACATAAAAAACAGAGAGATGAAGTCTGAAGAGTGAGAAAAGACTAGGTTTTATTCGTTAAATATAAAGAAACTCTTTTGTATTTTTAGATTAATTCATATTTATAATTTAAAAAAAATGTTTTTAAATTATTGTGACGACATATATTTAATTTAATTAATTCCTAAATGACATGCTATGTTTTCATTGAATTGCTGTATTATTTGATTAGCATGTGACATTCAAATGTGTTGAAATACCTCCTAATCAAAGCATGGATAACCACCAAATTATGGTAGCTTAGTTGGCGTCAAGGAATGGTGAGAGCATATGTTCGATCTTTTTCAGTACCGTCTTTGGGAGGGGTTTAAAGCCTTAATCCCGGGACCCGTCCCGAATCGGACTAGTCGCAAAGTGATTAATTGATTGGAATAAAAAAAAAAACATGAATAGCCCGCGAACCTTACAATATCTTGAACCCTTGGCATATTCCACCTGCATTTGCAATTTGTTTAAAATTGGACTTGTTTGTTAAGTTGAATCAACCAAATATGCTTTGAGTCTACGTAATGACATAAATAAATTCTTACGGATATTAATACACTCAACTACTTAATAAATTATCATAAAATTAATTTGAGAACATAAATTTAATTTTATTCCATGTGACATGCTATGTTTCTATTGAATTGCTGTATTATTTTATTAAAATGTGATGTTCTATTTACTTTTGAGCCAAATGCTCCAATTTGAAGTCTCTGAATTTGCACCCAGATACTTCCTCAATTGCAAAGTCACTCAACCGTTCACAATGTATCTAATCTCAACGTTTAATAATAGATGGCTTTTTTTTTTTTTTTTTTTTTTTTTGTATAACTTGGAGGTATCTTCGTTCACCCTCCTCCGGTCATCTTGTCCTCGCATTGAAACAGATGGTGCATTGAACTTTGCTACCGGAGAATGGATGAGACTAATCTCCGTTCGAGAAGAGAGGCATGTCCTCTGACCCTCAAAGATTTTTCAAAATTTGCTTGAGACAGAGTTTGAACACTGACCCAAGCAAATACTTAGTGTAATAATACAGTTCATTACTGTCAATGTAGCAACTCAGCGGTTATTGTTGGTTATTAAATTCCCATTGATCAGCTGGCCCCTATCTGTTGGCATCTTTATTGTCCTTTTTCTTCTCTTCACACCTAAGTACATACAATGCTGCAAATATAGACAGGACATGGAACTTCTGATTTTGATTTGAAGCTGGTTAAAAGCAATTTCCATGATTATCTATGTACTACATCAGGTGAAATTGAATCAAGTACAAGAAAAAAGACAAGAATTCTAAAGGTTAAAGCAATCTCATTTGACTCTTTAATTTTTATCTCAAAAATATGAAAGTATCATAGTACCATGTAATGAGAGGGGAAAAAAATGTTTTTGTAAGAACTATCCACCAAATACCAATGTACACATGATGATATGTTATGTATTAAAATAATTCGTGTCTATGTCATAAAACAACATGATATTGTCAAGTTTTTTTAAAAAAAAAAAAATGAAAACTACAAATCCTTGTTGATATTATCAACGAGTGACACACATCCGTCATGTTGCAAGGAAAAAAAAAAAAAAAAGATGGGAGCAAATTCATCGACTGAAGGGTGACGAAAACAGTGAGCTATATATCTTCTTAGAGTAGATCAAAATTGAAAGAAGTTTGAAGTTAAAAAAATTTCACATAAAAAATATCTTTGATTTAGCTTTCGACTCCATGCCAAATGCATCTTGGTCCACACAAAAACTGGCGTGGTTGGGACCAAACATAAGAGCCTCTATTGTGTTAGGAAACGAGACAGATCAGTCGACTTGACTTTTAATTAAGGGCTCCTTTTTTTTGGTAGTGGCAATCAAATTCAAATTCAAGATGTCACGTAACGTGAGCCTCCAGTATTTAAGTGCATAGATTAACACAAGGAATTAATATCCCCTCTTCTGTGTTTCCACCCAATTATCAAACTCCAGTGGTCTCATCTTCCTCAACGAAAAAATGAAACCTTTTTCCCTCACGTTACCTGCATTTTGCTTTACATGCCTTCCACCTATTTCTTCTCTTTACTTTGGACTCACTCTGGTTTGGCCAAAACACAATTGCCTCTCCAGCAGCAGGAAACCACACAGACCATTTGGCATTGCTCAGATTCAAGGAATTAGTATCCAATGACCCGTATGGAATCTTGTTCTCTTGGAATAGTTCTACTCACTTTTGCAACTGGCATGGAATCACATGCAGCCCAATGTACCAAAGAGTTACCGAGTTGAACCTAGAAGGTTATCAATTACGTGGGCTCATATCTCCACTAGTTGGCAATCTCTCTTTTCTTATAAACCTCAATCTTGGAAACAACAGCTTCTACGGAAAAATCCCACAAGAAATGAGTCGATTGTTACAATTGCAGCAACTCTCTCTCATCAACAACTCGTTAACTGGGGGAATTCCTACAAACTTGACCAGTTGCTCTGATCTCAAAGAGATACTCTTATCTGGGAACAATCTGAGTGGCAAAATACCAATTGAAATTTCCTCTCTTAGAAAACTTCAACTTTTTGTTGTTCAAGAAAACAATTTAATAGGAGGAGTCCCACCCTTCATAGGGAATCTTTCATCCCTAACAGTTCTCTTGATGGGTGATAATAACTTAGAGGGAGATATTCCAAATGAAATATGCCTCCTCAAAAACTTGACAGCTATATCAGTTTCTGTTAACAAAATGTCGGGTACATTTCCATCTTGTCTTTACAATATGTCATCTCTTACTTTAATCTATGTTGGACATAACCAATTTAATGGCTCTCTTCCACCCAACATGTTTCTCACCCTTCCCAATCTCCAAGTATTTAAAATTGCTAGGAATCAAATCTCAGGTCCAATCCCCACTTCCATTGCAAATGCTTCTGCCATTCAATTACTTAATATCGCTCATAACAATTTCATGGGCCAAGTTCCGAATATAGGGAAGCTAATAGATCTGTATTACCTAGGTTTGTCTGAAAACAATTTAGGTGACAATTTAACTACAGATTTGGAGTTTTTAAAATCATTAACAAACTGTAGTAAGTTGCAACATTTTGGTATAGCCTACAATAAGTTTGGAGGTCGTTTGCCAAATTGCTTGGGCAATTTATCCTCCCAACTTAATCAATTATATCTTGGGGGTAATCATATATCAGGACAAATTCCAGCAGAATTAGGAAATCTATTAAGCTTAATTATCTTGACCATGGAAAAGAACCGTTTTGAGGGGATTATTCCATCTTCTTTTGCAAAGTTTCACAATATGCAACGTTTAAATTTGGGTGGAAACAAGCTGTTAGGAGATATACCACCCTTCATAGGCAACCTCAGTTTGTTATATTATTTGGCTTTAGACCAAAATTTGTTAGAAGGAAATATTCCTACAAGTATAGGGAACTGTCAAATGTTGCAAGTTCTAGACCTTTCCCGAAATAACCTTAGAGGAACCATACCCTCAGAGATTTTTAGTCTTTCCTCTTTAACAAATTTACTAGACTTGTCACACAACTCATTGAGTGGTAGTCTACCATATGAAGTGGGCCAATTGAAAAATATTGAAGTGTTAAATGTCTCTGAGAATCATCTGTGCGGTAATATTCCTGGAACAATTGGAGAATGCTCAAGCTTGGAGTACCTTTATTTGCAGGGGAATTCCTTCCATGGAATCATACCATCCTCTTTGGCTTCACTAAAAGGTCTTCGATATTTAGACCTATCACGAAATCACTTGTCTGGATCAATTCCTGATGTTCTGCAGAATATTTCTTTCTTAGAATACTTAAATATATCATTTAACATGTTGGATGGTGAGGTACCAACTGAAGGTGTCTTTCGAAATGCAAGTGAGTTAGCAGTGACTAGAAACAACAAGCTTTGTGGAGGTGTTTCAGAGCTGCATCTACCCCTATGCCCTGTCAAAGGTGAGAAACATGCACATCACCACAATTTCAACTTGAAGGTTGCGATGTTTAGTGTATTCATTTCTTTTCTCATACTATTATTTATTCTCACTTTCTACTGGATGAGGAAAAGAAGTAAAAAACCATCTTCTAATTCACCAACAATTGACCAGCTGGCCAAGGTTTCATACCAAAACCTACACCGTGGAACGGATGGGTTCTCAATAAGAAACTTGATAGGACTCGGAAGTTTTGGCTCTGTGTACAAAGGAACTATTGAGCCAGAAGACACAATTGTTGCTATAAAGGTCCTAAATCTTCAAAAGAATGGAGCTCATAAGAGTTTCATTGCTGAATGCAATGCACTCAAAAATATTAGGCATCGAAATCTAGTTAAGATTTTAACATGTTGTTCCAGCACAGATTTCAAAGGTCAAGAATTTAAAGCTCTAGTTTTTGAGCATGTGACAAATGGAAGCTTAGAAAGTTGGTTGCATCCGGCAACAGAAATAGCAGATCAACCTAGATCACTGAACCTTGAGGAAAGGTTAAATATTATTACTGATGTTGCTTCAGCATTTCATTATCTTCACTACGAATGTGAGCAGGCTGTCATCCATTGTGATTTGAAGCCTAGCAATGTTCTTCTTGATGATTGCATGGTAGCTCATGTGAGTGATTTTGGCCTAGCAAGATTACTCTCAAGTGTTGGAGTATCTCTGATGCAAAGTAGCACAATTACAATAAAAGGGACTGTTGGTTATGCTCCTCCAGGTATAATATGATTTATTTTTGGTTAAGTTGTTAAATCTTTTAGTTTCAAGTTTTAGGTCTTGTTTCTAGACCTTTTACTTTCTTTTGGATTAATATTTTGATATCTTTAATGCCATTGACTGATTTGCATTACATTTCAGAGTATGGAATGGGTTCCGAGGTGTCAATTGAAGGCGATATGTATAGTTTTGGAATTCTGATTTTACAAATGTTAACTGGAAGAAAACCCACAGATGAAATGTTTAAAGATGGTCATACTCTCCACAATTATGTTAAAATTACAATATCCAATAATTTTGTGGAGATTGTAGACCTAACTATTCTCCATAATGAATTAGAACGGACTACTGATAATAAGAACCTGGGTCTTGTGCATCCGAGTGTAGAGACATGTTTACTCTCTCTTTTTAGGATTGCACTTGCTTGTTCAATGGAATCACCAAAAGAAAGAATGAATATGATTAATGTCACCAAGGAACTTAATCTGATCAAATCATTTTTCCCTTATGAGATTTAGTGGAGGCGAGTTGCTTTACAACCAGACAACACTTGATGAAGAGGAGCCACCTTACTATTGCTATCAATTAATACTAGCGGATGTTTTATATACTTTCTTATTCCTGCTATTTATTATCTAAATGTTTTCCATGTAGAAGTTTGTAAATTTTCAATAAAAAAATGGATTTTGAACGGTTGGTAATTTTTTAATCTATCCATTTGATTCTCGCCTCCGTGAATGCTTGTTATCGATACTTAAATAATGTTGCAATATAAAAAATATTATACCATATCATCTATGTATAATCACCATTTTCTGTTGCCAGAACAACCCAATATGTTGGGATTCATTGTTGCAAGTGATATGACTGTTTATTTAAACTCATATCCTTCTTTTCCCATTTATCCTACCAGTTAGGATGCGTGCAAAGAAAAGAATAGAACATTTAACATTATATTAAACTGAACATTATAACTTCAATTTTCAAAATATTCAATAGAAAATTGACTTTTTACTTCATAAAAAATACAAAGGGTGAAGTTAGTGGGAGCCTACTATCGTTATAAAAAGCATACTAGCTAACACAAATCATAAGCAGGATTCTAGTGGTAAATCAGTAAATTTCCAATCTCCTGAAACATAAGCATAATTTACAGTTTTGTTGTATTCTAGTTCTACTGATCTATTACATGTATATAAGCTGAAGCAAATTTCCATGTAAACTCTTCCTCATATTTTATTTTTAAGTTACATTAGTAAAATCTAAACATTCTTAACTTTACATTTGTCGTCTTTTCAATTCCTCTCATTGGTTGGTTAAAAGTCTTTGAACTCTTATTCTCAACATCTCTGGCTTTGTTGCCACATTTCTACATTGATGCATTGTCTTTTCAACTTCATTTACCAATATCCATGTCTGTAATGTTTCTATCTATCTTTGTCAAATTGGTTCTTCTTGATGGGACGAAAATTTCATTCTCATCTGGAACATTTTTGCTGCGGAATGCCGGTCGTTCCGCCCCCTTTAGATGGTGGGCATTATAGTTGTCTTGTATAAAAGTATATGGTATGATGTATATGTGCATTCATTCACATTCATATAGATGTTATATGATCTTGATGTTATGATGATGCACTGATGATAAATGTTATGAGGATCCTGGCCAGTGATAATGGTATGTAGGTTGTAGCAGCCCGTTGTACACCGGTATTGTTAACATTAACTATGATATTAAGCGCAGTTACGATCACAACAATTCATTTATAAAATGCGAGTAAATTTTTTTCGTTTATTACGCGAGCATTTAAAACAATAAAAAGTGTAATAAATAAAAGCTGTGGCCGTAACTATAAAATCTTTGCGGAATAATTATGTAAACTACTTTTATAACATATATTACTTCTCTCAAGTCACTAAGGGGTTCCCATAAATCCACTTAGCTAAAATCTCACTTTTACATTTTCTACCTATCCGAACATGGTTTGGTCTTTAATTTAATGCGGTCAAACCGCATTCTACAAGCCTCCCATATTTTGATATGTTATTCTACACTTAATTATGTTTCTAGGAAGCTATCACACGAGTCATAAAGTTCTTGTTTGCTCCGGATATCGCCGTTTGAAGTTGGACAAGCAAATCTGTCAGCCAACCCCAAAACAGCTCCAAACAGCCTTCACTCAATAAATCATTCTGGAATATCCACTCAACCAATTGCTCTCAAAATTTTATAAAACAAGCTAGACACCTCAAGCTTAAATTTGATATATCATACACCTAATTTGACCAAGAGAAGAAGCGGAAATAAATTTCCCAATTTCGCTCCAGATCAGCCCCATGCGCAGGGGCCAAATGAGCATTCTGTTCTCACAGCCTTCTACAGGCCGACTCCCAACCCATAAAAATCTCCAATTTTACCATAATGTAGAGGACATCACAAGCTTCAAAATGGTGTATGGCACGTCCCTAACGGACCTTTGTGGAGGGAGATATGCTCTCCCAAAGTTCACCTAAATTCTGCCAATTTCTAGAAAATTCGCCAGAGTTTCCTTTGTTTTTCCAATAAATCCCCAAATTGTAAAAGTGTTCTCACATCCTCAAATTGTACCTAATAATCATTGGGTGGCACACAAGGACCAGCAATGCCTTGGTGCTCTTACAACCCATCACAGTTTATATCCAATTACTCAATTTCCATCACTTTACTTATATTTTCAAACTTAACATATTTTAATCACCATAATCCATTTGCATGCATTCTTTGAATTATAAAGCATCATTCACATCCTAGAATAGGCATATTGCTCTTTCATCATATTACATACTTCCATGTTAGTCTTCATGTACAAATTACAATCTTCCAAATGAAATATTACACTTGACAAACCATAACCTTCAAATAAAACATAATAAATACTACAAAATAAACATGATAAATCAAGACTAAACTTAGATAAAATACATCATGAACAAAATGATAATCACATCCTAATCATAAGAATTGTTCATGACCTAAGTCTAGCCTAGGCCCGACGGCCAACAAAATGAAAAATACATATAAATCCTCCAGCTCAGCCTACGAGCTTCTTGCCCGCCGCCCCAGCACTACTGGCACTACCTGAAATAAAATCCCCAAAGCGGGGTGAGATATACGAATATATCTTAGTAACCTAGAGGTTCTGGAGAATACTCCGCCCAATGGCTCACTTTGATGCATATAAATAACATAACATAACATCCGAAAATGGGATAAAGCAAGGGATGTAGTGAAATAGGGGAGCATAGGGATACAAAATACGACGAAGCTGGAATGGTCAATGCCAAAACCACGCAACGTCCAGCCTATTGGCTTGGCATATAAGCCTACGGGTTTCAAACCAAGGCGTGTTCCCAGAACATCAAACCAAGGCACCCTCCATCCATATCCACCCGAGACTTCCTAGTGTGCTCCTATCCGGATCACACACCACGACCCCAGGTCAACTGGAACTCCCTCACGGAGACCTATCCAGTGGAAGTCCGTAACGCCCAAAGGCAAACAATCTACTGGCCAGAGACACGGTACATCCTATGTACCAACACACATACAATATGCATGAACATGTTATCCTATATTATTTACATACACTTCCTACCATCACCCTCAACGGGCATGGTGGAGCACACAAGGGGATCAAACCCCAGTACCAAGAGGTTACCTGTATAATCCTCTCCCACAGATCCAATGCAGTATATTTCTTGAGCTAGGTACACAACAGAAATGCCTACACAGAAGACATTCTCAATTAATTACCATTCATATGAACACATGCAAGTTATTAACTCTTCAAGCATGGTTTCAAATACTCACCACAATCCCCTTTGGTCTGGGACCAAGGACAACCCACCGAGCTCACGATTCGGGGTTCAAATCCAAGAAAGGCAACCTACAATGACCATATACGGATCATCAACACACGATAAATCTATCAAAATCCAAAAACGTCAAATTCCTCCCCTACACCATGGTAGGTTCGGCCATTGTAGTGCAAAAATACAAAATATTTTTCTTTATTTTCTTTTCATTTTTCTTAAGAATCCCAAGGTTACCCCAATGTCATTTTAGGTGCCAATTTGCATCCTACATCATTCAAACATCATTTTGCCAATTAATTTGCTCTAGGTTCAATTACACAATTCAACACTATCCAATATTTTTCCATTGATTTTCAAACCTTGCAACCATCACACAACCCTTCTAATCACCATTTAACAACACAACACATCAACCAATTAATTTTTACAACATCCAATCCTCATTTTCTCTCATAAGGCCGAAATGCACATAAGCATATACCAAGGGATTTTCAATCCAAATCAACTACTTTACACCTTATACAATCCTATTATTAACTCATTCAACAATCCAATTACACAATCCTAACACAATTCAAAATCACAAAGTTCATGGTATCATCCAAATTTTCCTAAGTTATCATCACTTTTTGCAAATAAATTTTATGACATACAACACTCCAAAACATCATTCTAAGATATATTTATCTAATATACATTTTCAATTTGAGCTCTCTAACTCCATAAATCAAGCATAGAAGCTCTAGGTTTTCATGAAATTAAATCATCAAATCAATCTATGAAAGGTGTTGAAACTTACCCACAATTAAGTCACAAGACTCCTCCAGTTGATCTCTAAGCAATGGCTTGAGCAAATAACTCCAAAATCACAAAAATCCTCTCCATTTTCGTGGATGACTTTGCCCTTTATCTCACAAATGAGAGGGTTTCAAGGGAAACTAATCAGTGGGATGTGTTCGGGTGATGATTTCCAACAACTTTGCTCACAAACTTTTCTTGATCGGAGTAGTATTGAAGGAGTTATGAGAGGAAAAAAATTTGGAAGCAAAGGCCATGGAGGAGAGGGCTGATCGGTTTTAGGAGAGAGGGAGAAGAAAAAAGATGATGAATAGTGGCATGGATGAGTTGTCATGTAGTCACTTAAGTGAGGTGGGACCCACCGCCACCTCACACGATTTCAAATTAATTCAAAACTCCCTCTGAATCCACTAAACGTCCATAATTTCATAACCTATTTAGAAACTCTAATTTTTAACATTAACCATTGTCCTTTAATTAAGCTTGATCAAATGAATCCGGAGTTTTCCGGTCGTTCGGAGAAAATGCAGTTTTAAGCTGTTGCGCGCGTCGTAGGCATGCTTCCCCAAACTTACTAATTTTCATCAATTTTCATCAGAAATCATATTTCCTAGTCCTATATACCATTTATAACTTGTATTCAAAACCTAGAGCTCAAAACTCCATCGACACGTTTTACGGTGCAATTGTACTGCGATATTTTACCCGGTAAAAACACTATTCACAGAATTTTCAGAAACTTGCCTAACCACTCAATTTTTCGTTCCGAATCCATTTTCAGGGTTATTTTTATCATTTGAGACTTCCTACTCAATTTTACATTCCTAGGGTTGCGTGTTTGGCTAATTACCATTTTACCCTTCCTTTGTATTTTGACTTGATTTTCAGGATTTTCACTAATTCTTCCTTTTAATCCATGTTTAATATGCTAACATATAATTTAGAAATGTGAGGTGTTATATAGGGTGCCTATGACTTGACTCTGGGAGCTAT